AACAGCCCTGCATTAGTGTGCATAGGAGTGCATTAATGTGGAGTTAGGACAACAACCGATCAAAAGTGAATAGATACCTTAGTCAGTCAATCAGAATATATGACGTTCATGCTCATAGATGTAGAACTACACTTCTCTATTCTTCCAATACAGTTCCAAAATGCCTACACCATGTGGTTCAACAACATCTTTGAGCAAGCAAGGTCAAGTCATAGGATATTCAATCCTAGAAGGACCTTATAAAATGACATTAGCTCAAATATCTGAGATAACAGGGGTCTTGAAAAGTACCTGTTCAACCATTATCAGGACAGCTAAACAGCGAGTGAGTGAAAATGGCATATCTGATCTTTATGTAATAGAGAATCTGGTTCCTTTATCCAATTCTGTAAAGGGTTTCAATCAGGCTCTTACTGATGTCCAAAAGAGTCATCAGATCGAAACTGCATTAAAAGATGCAGAACATTGTCAAATGACATTTTCTCAACTTGTAGAAGCTGGTAATTTTTATTTTTTTATTTACTTACAATTAATTTGCTAATAAATAAATGTACATAAAAGCAAATTTAAATGTTAGTCGACAAAGAGTGTCCCGAGTCCTTGCAGCGAATGGAATATTTCGCTGAAAGCTAACTACAAAGTCAACTCTCAATCCAGTCCAGAAATCTGCCTGCCTTGCCTTTTACAACCTCCACTAAAATCTGGATTGGGGGTCAGTGATTTTTACTGATGAGTCCAATTTTGAAATGGGAAACTTACATTGCCGCCATGCACAGAGTTTTAAGACGTGCAGGTGAGGCTTACAAGCCATAAAACAATTAACAAAAATTTGCACATAGTGCAACTGTAATGTTTTAGGGAGCTATCTTGTATAGTAAATTAGATAATTATATTGATTATTATTATTATTATTATTGTTATTATTATTATTATTATTATTATTATTATTATTATTATTATTATTATTATTGCTATTTTAATGTACATAATTGCTAATATAATATATTTTATAAGGAAATCAACTTCTATACCATATGTATGCTACACCGTATGAGACTACGCAATAGCAGAATGAGGTACTAGTAATTCTATAAAAGGAATATGATGTTGAAGTAGAAGAAAATGCTCGGGCAGTAGCTAGGAGGTTTCCAGTCTCATTTCCAGATCCTGTTTTCAAGGTTAGGAAGCTTAATCGTCAGGGTACAATAGATTGGTATATATATTAGGAACAAATTTTGTCACCCTTTCTTTATCCTTTTATACAGGATGTAATAGAAGAATTCACTGATAAGAATATTATAATAATGAAGGATAATGCTCCTGCACATATCCACCATTATCATAAAATTCTGAGAGAAAGACTAGGATATCAAAAGCTGGTTTGGCCAGCTAATTCTCCAGACTTAAATCCGATTGAAACAATTTGGACTAAGCTAAAAGAGAAGCTACAGGATAAAATTGGCCATTGGATGTCAGTTCGTGAAATCTGTCATATTCTTGAACAGGTAAGTTTTATCATTATATTATAAGTATATTGCTCATTCAATTTCTAATATAATAATATCTGCTAGGAATGGAACAATTATCCTATAGAACGGGTAAATCACCATATTGAATTATTGTCTGCTTGCATTGAAGCTTGTATTGCTGATAATAGTGGCAACAACTTTAATTTCTAAATCCTATGTTTACTTTTTCCTCTCTCTCCTGCTGCTTTCCGCCTTCACTTAATATGGGGTTTTTTTTTGTACATAAACTACAATTTCTAGTTTTCATTACTCGTGTTATTTGATTGTTCTCTGATAGTTTTAGTTTGCTTACCCAATCAAAATATCTCTCATGTATACTAATGCATCTCTGTGCACACTAATGCAGAGCTGGCTGCGTTTACAAATGTTTGGGCAGGACGAGTACAAGTTCCTGGTATGAATAGACTGAACGTAGTGGGGATATAGAGGGCTGGAAACCTATTGTCAAGGAGACTGAATTAACCTTGTAAAAAGGGGAAAATATAACCAAAAAGTGAATATTTTTCACATGACTTCAATGTGTAAACAAATTAAACAAATTAAACAAATGAATAATATTAAGAATTAAATATTAAAATTAAAAATAAACATAAATACAAAGATTTGAAAACAATTAAACATTCATCAGCAGGTATGGTCCTCAGAGGTAGCAATAATAGCCTCTAATCTCTCTGGTATTGAATCTAGAAAGGTCAATAGAGGAACTTCAGAGATTTGTTACCATTCCTCCTGTATAGCCTGTGCCGTTCCTTCTATATCCTCTAGTCATGGATGGCACTTGTTCAGTCTATCCTTCAGGATATACCAAGCATTCTCGATAGGATTTAGATCAGAGGAGGCAGAGGGCCAAACATATTTCAGGATGCCAAACTGTTCTCATATCCGCCGTGTATAAGGTACTTAATGAGCAGAAGCACTATCCTCCATTAACCAGAGAAGACGCCCTGCTGCCTCACATACTCTCTCCCAAAAAGGCTTGAGCACTAGAATAAGAAGATTATTAGAATAACTTTTAGCCTTGATAGTACCCCAATTGTCCCTATCCTAGAGCACTAAGTTACACTTCCTCCCTCCAAGAATCCTGTAACTGGTACAGGTACTCGGTTATTAGTTTTGTTTTATATTTTGTTTTAAGTATTGCTTTAATACTTGGTTTGTTTTAAGTATCATTTGATACTAAATAACTTTTACAAAAGTATATTGATTGATACTTTTGATTAGTTCCATTCATGTTAGCCATGAACAGATTTGTGTATTTAAAGACTGCCTGATTCCACGATAGAAAAGGCAGAGTTCGACAGACAGTATTTCAATATACTTGGTTGAACAGTTACTTCTTTGTTTCTCAGTACATCTTCAAAATCTCCTTTAGTTCTCAGCTCTCGCCTCCTCTCTGGTAGAGCTGGCCACCTGCTAACTATCGTACCATTTACTGATAACGTAATTAGCGCTTTGCAAACACGTTACATTTTTTTAACCTTGGCAAGTGGTTAAGAACCTGTCTCTAGATTTAGGCCTAATTAACCTATTGACATCTACTTCAGAATACTAGTCGAGAGAAGCAGCAGAATCGCAGCATATTTAGCTTCGCCTTAAAACTAATATAGAGTCATTGATGACCTGAAGTGGGAAGCAAATCTCACGGCAAGAACTTACAAGAAAGAAACAACCCTGGCATTCTGGTAAGAAGTCCGGAGAACCTGCAAACACAAGAGACATACAAACTCTAGGAGAATTCCCTTCTATCCCAGTAAAGAAGCCTTCCTTTGAACCTCTAATTGACTCCAAATCCAGTAGCGAATCAGATATGGCTAGTACAGGAGGAGGGCCTTCCGGAGGAGGAAAATCTTGGGCTTAGCCTGCAGAAGAGGAAGTAGCTGGAGTATTTGAACCACCTAAGTTCAAACTCCACCTCCTCGCGGAGTTTACAGGAGAAGGAAAAGACCTCAAACCTGAAGCTCTTGATTGATGGGCAACTGAAATCACACACTACCTTCTCTTATGAGGGAAGGATGTAGGGGACTCTATATCTGGACTATATATTGGATCATTCTGGGAAGAAAAGGTAACCGATACATACTACTAACGCTATAAGGAATAGGGCAGAAATTTAAGATTGAAAGGATCCACTATTCTCGATTACCTGAAATGCTGATTCCAATCCTCTATCATAAATGACCTCCTATACAACAAATTTAACCAGCTCTATCAAGTTAATGGAATGTATGTCAAAAGAATCACAGATGAAGCTACAGATCTCTTAATGTATGAGGACCGAATGAAGAAAGAAAGCATCTCCAACTACATTCTTAAGCGACGATTCTATGATACCATGCACCCTACCCTCCGGCGAGAGGTAGAGCCACTCGAAGAAGATGACCATGATATATCAGCAATACTTGTAAGGGCGGAATGAAAGGACACTATCCTTCACGAAACCAAGGCATGCAAGACACAGACATTCTCTAGCAGTAACAGACAACTACAACACAAGCTCTCCAATAACTCTGAAGAAGATATCCTGCAGGTTTTCAGAAAGAAAACAAAATCCTTCAAAGAATTGAGACGACTGAAGGGAGAATGCTTTGAATGCGGAAAAGCAGGACACATGGCAAAGAAATGCCCAACGAAGAAAGGAAAAGGAAAGGCGATTA